AATAACTCACACCAGCTATTTCCCTTTCCTTACAAACTCTGTTAAAAACTACTCAGAATTCTTTCCCTTCTCAGCTTTGCCCAGAAATGCACATTTTAAAGCTTCCCAGGCTTTTTCCTTGCTGAGCTACTGAGTCAGGGACTGAAGCATCTGGCACTTGCTGGGAGGTGTTGAGTTCAGAGAACTTAACTTTTATTTAAAGGCTTTTTATGTTCAGGACTCCCTGCTGGTGCAGGGATTGGATTCTTGCCCCTCTCCTCGTGGCTGTGAGGATGAGGGTGGTGAGGATGAAGTCTGGTGCTCAGGGAGGTGCTCACGAGCAGAGGGGGGGTTTGGGAGGCTCAGGGAGGATTTTAACTCTGTGATTTTGGCTATGCTCTTCCCTGCTGGAATATTCACATTCCACTGAACTCTGGCTGTTCCCAGGGCATGGACAAGCCTGGCCTAGGGCACCACTGACAAAAGGAGAGGGGTGTTGACACTTCTTTATTAATTAAGGCCTAATTAATAAATTAGGATTCAAGTTGTGGCCGCCCCTGGATCCCTGGCAGTGCCCAAGGCCAGGTTGGAGCACCTGGGACATTGGGAGGTGTCCCTGCCATGGCAGGGGTGGCACTGGGTGGTCTCTGAGGTCCCTGCAACCCAAACCAATTTGGGGTTCCATGTAATGGAGAGGTAAACATTAATGGTGTGAAGGGAAAATCTTCCCAAGGAGCTGGATGGAGCTGGAGCATGGCTGGGCTTGGAGCAAGTGGAAAGGGGAAGGAGCTGGGTGTTCCAGTCCTGGCAGAATTCCATCAATCAGTGACCACGGGGCTCAGAGCCATCAGTGGCCAGCACAGGTGACAGCACAGCTGCTGGGGAGAGGTCCCAGGGGCATCTGCACCTGGGGACACCTCAGGCTGATGCCACAGGCCTGGAATCCTCCAGAGATGAGGAAAAACCTCGGTGCTGCTGTAGGTCTGTGCTCCATCTGAGCCTTCCCGAAACTTCACAGGCCTCTCACTGTGCAATTACAGGAGGATTTTAGTCTGATTATACATTAAAAACTCCCCTCTCCAAAGAAACTCAAAGATCAGAGACATTTCCTTTCAAGTATTACACTGAAATTTGAACACTCCTGCTGCTTATTACAAAATGTTTCTGCAAGGCACTGTGGAACTCTTCCACTCGATACTTTTATTGCCAGGATTGTTTTGTTTTCTCTGTAAATCCCAGCATTTCGCTCCCATAGCCTTCTTTTTTACGGAAATGTTGTTAGGGAAGTTTTAGTCACAGCTTGAGCAGGATGCACAGTCACAAGCCACTGCTGTGGGTACATTAGCAGGACCATGAGAATCACAACCAAACACAAAATAAATGACATGTTTGTCCTTCAGCTGGGTGAAAATGGGAATGCAAAGTCTAGAGTCTTATTTTTCCTGATCCCCACGATTCTCTAATCTTATCAAATATACATTCCCATATTCCAAGGCAGCCTGGTAAAGCAGCTTGCTAGAAATAAGTTGCATTAGATTGTGTAGAGCACATTTTCCTGGGAAATCCAATTTCACAATCGTGTTCTGGTGACATTTAGCCATTGCTTAGTACAGCAAGGGTTCCTTGGGTATTTGAAATGCTGAGTCCTGTGGCAGCAGGGCCGGGGCAGGGATTGTCCCCCTGTGCCACCACAGGGACCTTGAGGGCTCAGTCCAGCTCTGGGTCCTCATTGCAGGACAGCCCTGGAGGGGCTGGACCATGGCCAGGGCAGGGAATGGAGCTGGGAAGGGGCTGGAGAATCCCTGAGGGAGCTGGGCAGGGGCTGCAGAATCCCTGAGGGAGCTGGGCAGGGGCTGCAGAATCCCTGAGGGAGCTGGGCAGGGGCTGCAGAATCCCTGAGGGAGCCGGGCAGGGGCTGCAGAATCCCTGAGGGAGCCGGGCAGGGGCTGAGCCTGGAGCAAAGGAGGCTCAGGGGCCCTTGTGGCTCTGCACAGCTCCTGCCAGGAGGGCACAGCCGGGGGGGTCGGGCTCTGCTCCAGGGCACAGGGACAGGAGCAGAGGGAACGGCCTCAGGCTGGGCCAGGGCAGCTCAGGGTGGGCACAGCAGGAATTTCCCCATGGAAAGGGGGCTCAGGAAGTGCCCAGGGAGGGTTGCAGTGCCCATCCCTGCAGGTGGCACCTGGGGGTGGCACTCAGGGCTGGGGACAGGATGGGGATGGGGCAGTGACAGGGTGGACTCAGGGGTCTGGGAGGTCCTGTCCTGTTGGGGAAGATGAAACAGGAAAGCCTTATCAATATGATTGCCTGGCAAAAGATGTTGAGAATATGGAAACTGTAAGTGAGATTGAAATGAAAGCAGCTTTGAGATACCTCAGCTACTGAACAACTGGAAAACAATGGTGTGGCTGCTGAAGGTGATCCCCTTTTGATGGAACAACACCCTCTGCATGCAGACAGGCCCAAGGGTCAGAGCAGACCCTACAGCTTGGCAGAAGGGGCTCAAAGAGGAGTTTGTAGGGTTTAAAATGTAACCCAGGATGGTAATGTAATGATTCTTATGGGCTGTTTGTAAATGCTATAGGATTTGTATATTGTATTAGATTGGTTAGTGAGAATCAGAATATTCAGCACAGAAGAAGATTTATGGTAGTGGAACAGGAACCTTGCTCTCTTACCTCTTGTCTCAGCTTTTGCCTTTTATGCTCTTACCCCTTTTACTCTCTTATGCTTTTGCTCTCTCACCCTCTCATCCTCTCTCCCCTTCTCTTCTCTCAGGCCTGCTCCAGCTGTGCCTGGCAGCTCCCAGCAGGGCCCTGCACCCAGGCCCTTTGCAATGAACCCCAAATCCCAGCAGGCCCCTGCACCCAGGCCCTTTGCAATGAACCCCAAATCCCAAAAGGCCCCTGCACCCAGGCCCTTTGCAATGAACCCCAAATCCCAAAAGGCCCCTGCACCCAGGCCCTTTGCAATAAACCCCAAATCCCAAAAGGCCCCTGCACCCAGGCCCTTTGCAATGAACCCCAAATCCCAGCAGGCCCCTGCACCCAGGCCCTTTGCAATAAACCCCAAGTTCCTGACCCGGCTGCAGAGATCCCTGCTCTCCATCCATCCCCCCTGTCCTACCCTGTCCTACCTCAGGGATCCTGTGCACTCCTTCCCCAGTCCCTGCTCTTCCCTGGCTTTACTCCCCCCGCAGGCAGGGAAGGATCGCTGCCCCTCAATCCCACATTCCCAGCAAATCCCAGGTTCCAGGGGCTGCCTGGGCACGGCACAGCTGCAGAGGGAGCGGGGCTGTCCCTGTTTGTCTGGCAGTGGAGGTGCCTCCAGGTTCATAAATCTGTATGCAGTGGTAGGGGTTCTCTACCAGCAATTCATTTTAATTATGTGAGACATAAAAAGACCACCTACAGATGAGACAATACAGCTGTAAGATTCTCAAGGTTACTGTGGGGAATACTTCATAACTGAAGTATGTTTTCCCTGAGGAATTTGACTACCATTTGATTTAATTTTTAATTTTTACATTTTAATCAAAAATAGATCAAATGGTGGTGTTCTCCCCTGGGAACCATACTTCAGATATGAAGCAGTCCATGTTCCTTTTAAATATGTAAAGCTGCCATTTATGTATAACTCATGAATGACACCCTGTGTTGCAAGCAAATATCACGTGGCGATTTCGGGATCGCTGCAGCAACAACACCACAATCACACCAAAATATCCAAATATCCCCCAGCACCGGGCCTGCAGCACCCAGGGAGGCCCTGGGAGCCCATCCTGCCCATCCTCAGGGGAAGGCAGAGCCCCAGGGATGGAGGATGTGCCCATGGAGGTTGTGGTGGTCCCTGTGGCGTGGAGAAGCTGCTCTGGGAGGGTCAGGAGCAGAGTTTGGGACATCAGAGCCAGGCATGGCTGCTCCAGGCCTGGGACAGGCTGGAGAGGGGCTGGGGACAAGGATGGAGGGACAGGACCCAGGGAATGGAGGGACAGGAGCCAGGGAATGGCTCCCAGTGCCAGGGGGCAGGGCTGGATGGGAGATTGGGAATTGGGAATTGTTCCCTGGCAGGGTGGGCAGCCCTGGCACAGGTGCCCAGAGCAGCTGTGGCTGCCCCTGCATCCCTGGCAGTGCCCAAGGCCAGGCTGGACACTGGGGCTGGGAGCACCTGGGTGTCCCTGCCATGGCAGGGCTGGGATGAGATGAGCTTTGAGGTCCCTTCCAACCCAAACCAGGCTGGAATTCTGTGACAAGAAACAGCCTCGAGCTGTGCCAGGAGAGGTTCAGGATGGATCTTGGGAAAATTCCTTCCTGGAAAGGGCTGGAGTGCCCATCCCTGGAGGGTTTAACAGCCCTGTGGAGGTGGCACTTGGGGACATGGACGGTGGTGGCCTGGGCAGGGCTGGGAAAGGTTGGATTTGATGGGCTCAGAGCTTTTCCAACCTGAGCAATTCTGTTGTTTATGTGGGACTCTGAATCAGGGTATCACACCAAGCTCCCAGGAGAGGGCTGAGGCTTTAAGCAGCAAATTTAAACATAAACACCACGGATTTGAAATCTAGTCAATAAATTATAATATCTAAAATAAACAAAAATAAATATATTATAATATTTAGATATTAAATATCTAAAATTAACAAAAATATAATATATTAATATATACTATATACATATACACAGTTAACTATATATATATAACTATATATATATTTAAATATATTAACTGCATTTATTTCAACACATAAGTCTTGGCTTGTCAGATCTAAGTTGGCTTTAAACTCCACTTATCCCAATATTTTGATTTTTCATGATTTTTTGGCAGTCAGGATGCCAAGTGACCTCTAATTGCCATCAAATTAATAAAATGAACACCTAAACCTACTAAAAGGATTTTACATGACATAAATATTTATTCTCCTAGTTCTTATTATTCTCATAATAATATATTTATTCTCCTCATCAGAGGTTTTATTTACCTTTATTCCTCAGAAATCACTCATGGAATAACACAACCAGACAATTCCATGCTGCAGCCAAAGTGGTGTTTAATGCTTCTGCTTTTGTAAGGAACAATTTACAAAATACAAAGTTAAAAATAAGAATTAGATCATTTAAACCTGAATTAAAAACAGGCCAGGGGCCTTTCTCTCTATATACAGGTAAATAAAGCATCACTGGTTATTCTTTGTACAAACCACAGCAGCAGGAAATAGAAAATTTATATATATTTTTTTTTCATCAAGAAAACAAAATTTCAGAGTTCTACAAGGCATACAAAAATAACTCTGTGGTTCCACTGCAGATTTGACACAAATCTGCTTTAAAGGAATATTCACTGCCCCAGCCTGTGCCAGCTTAATGATCCTGGAAAATCCCAAAATAAATTACAAACACATCTATTTAAAAAAATATCACTATTAAAAACCTTCAGTGGAGCAGACAATTAAATTCCAATTTGCTGGCTGATTTTAAAAAAGCACTCCTCGCCCTGTTGGAAAACAGGGAATCACATCTGAGAGGAAAAGTTCACTTTGGAATTGATCCAGGAGCTTCTGCCTTCCAATGTGGGGAGAAAAACAGGGATAACGGGGAGTCTGAGAGGAGTTAGAGGTGATTTAATTCAGAGGAGAGTTTGGGAGGGGTCAGGGCAGCAGCTGCCCTGCCCTGGAACACCTGGATGTGAGCCCCAGGGAGCAGCTCCAGGGGTTCCAGGTGGGGAAGTTCCCCCAGGACAGAGCTGAAATGTGAATTTCTGCAGCCCCAGGGTGGGCACAGGTGCCCAGAGCAGCTGGGGCTGCCCCTGCATCCCTGGCAGTGCCCAAGGCCAGGCTGGACACTGGGGCTGGGAGCACCTGGGACAGTGGGAGGGGTCCCAGGTGGAGCTGGATGGGCTTTGAGGCCTTTTCCAGGCTGGAATCCTGCAGGGAAATGGGGATTGGGATAGCTGGAAATGAGGGCAGACTCCTTTCCACTGCCTGCTGTCCTGTTTGGGGCTCACTCCTAGCAGGAGAATGTATTTTATTTATTGATTGAAACATCCGAGCTGACTCGCTCTGCTTTCCCCTCTGTGCTCCTGCAGGAAGCCCAGCACAGAGAGCCCTGTTTGAGATCAGGGCCCTCAGGGGAACACCTGGAATCCCCCATGTCCCTGCCAGCCCAGGCTGCACTGGGCATTTGGGACAGGGGAAGGACATCCCTGCTCACCCCGAGCCCAAAGCAGCATCAGGGGCTCCTGCTCTCCTCAGCAGTGCCCTGAATGAAATGCACAGAAACCCCTGCTCCCTGCCCAGTGACAGTGGGAAATGCTCATGAAATGGATGAGCAGCACACAAACACTGAGTTACTCAAGTAACACGTGAGGAAATACATTTAAACCAGACCTGCGCTAAATAAGCATCCGTAGTTTGGTTAAAAAATAAAAGTTCCCAAAAATCCCATTAAAATTCTGCCACAGCCAGCCCTAGGATTCACCATGGCGCTTCCAACAAATGCTGGAAAAGCAGGAGAATTTAAAAGGATTTCAAATTCTTGCCACAAACCCCACCAGGAGCAGAAGGAAAACCAGAAAGGAACCAGCTGGTTCTTGGCTTTACCCCAGATCCAAGTTGAAAGCAAACAGAGGAAATGTTGACACAGATATCTTTGAACTCCTGAACACGATAAAACGGGAGTTATTTAAGGAAAAAACACTTTTTACTTTCATAATCCATGTTTTCCCTGTTTTAAACTTGATCCTGTATTTTGCCTGAGGAATTCTGGCAGAAAACTCTTCCATCACAGACTCTGAGTCCAGTTTTGGTATTCCCCTCTTTGAACACCTGAAATTTTGACCATATTTGACCAAATTTCGACCAGTCCTAATCATTACTTGTCACACCTGAGGTTTTGAGTGATTTTGCAGGAACTAAACCCTTTTAGCCCTTTACATTTACTCAGATATTTCAGCTTTTGCTGCACAGAAACTGCTGTCCATCCACCTTGTTTTTAAATACTGCTTTGATTACCAGGATTTTTAAAAGACAAGGGTGGGGGATGCAAAAATGAATTCCCCACAAATTCTGACACCCCAGATCTTGCTATCAAGTATGGAAATACCAACTTGAAAGTATTTATTCTTGATTTAACTAAAACTTTTATTGGCTTGGAGGAAACTTATTTTTTAAACCAAAATCTGAGTGCCAATTAAGTGCAGGTCTGCTTTTAGATTTATTTCCTCATGTATTACTTAATTAAACTCAGTATTTATGTGATATTCATTTATTTAATGAGACTATCTCAACTCAGTGCTGACTCCAACTCCACACACAACATGGGAAGGATTCAAGGCCTGCAAAAAACCTTTGCCTGAGGATTTTGCAGCCTGATAACCCCCAAATTAACCTTTCAGAGGTTAATTAACCTGTCCTTAGATCTGTGCCAATAAAAGCTTGCTGGGTGATGAGGTCAAGCCTTTTTAAACAGATTTTTTTGGGATTTAAATGTAAGCTTCAATTGGATTTTTCCTGGACTTCACAGCTGCAAAGCCACTTAAAAATGAAAATCTGTGTCCTCCCATTGCTGCCTGTGGCCCTGCACAAGGAGGATTTTCCAAAGGAGCATTTTCCAAGGGGGTCAGGGCTGTTGGGAAAACCTTTGGAATCAACACAAGCTCTGGCCCAGTCCCAGGTGAAGCCTGGGCCCAAGGCCAGCTCAACTTAATCCATCTAAAACATTAAATTAGCCTTTCCTTGTCCTTTTAAAACAAATTCTGCACTACCTAAACATGAAATCTGCCTTTGCTTGTCCTTTTAAAACAAATTCTGAGCTAAACAAGAAATCTGCATTTTCTTGGTTCTTGTACAACAAATTCTGAGCTACCTAAACATGAAATCTGCCTTTCCTTGTCCTTTTTAGACAAATTCTAAACTACTTAAACCTGAAATCAGCCTTTTCTTGTCCTTTATGAACAAATTCTGAGCTAAACATGAAATCTGCCTTTCCTTGTCCTTTGTAGACAAATTCTAAACTACCTAAACATGAAATCTGCCTTTGCTTGTCCTTTATGAACAAATTCTGAGCTAAATATAAAATCTGCCTTTCCTTGTCTTTTTTAGACAAATTCTGAGCTAAATATGAAATCAGCCATTTTTTGTCCTTTTAAAACAAATTCTGAGCTAAATATGAAATCAGCCATTTTTTGTCCTTTTAAAACAAATTCTGAGCTACCTAAACATGAAACCAGCCTTTTTTTGTCCTTTTAAAATTAATTCTGAGCTAAACAAGAAATCTGCATCTTCTTGGATCTTTTAGAACAAATTCTGAGCTACCTAATCATGAAATCAGCCTTTCCTTGTCCTTTATGAACAAATTCCGAGCTAAATATGAAATCTGCCTTTCCTTGTCTTTTTTAGACAAATTCTGAGCTAAATATGAAATCAGCCATTTCTTGTCTTTTTTAGACAAATTCTGAATTACCTAAACATGAAATCAGCCTATCCTTGTCCTTTATGAACAAATTCTCAGCTAAATATGAAATCAGCCATTTCTTGTCTTTTTTAGACAAATTCTGAGCTAAATATGAAATCAGCCATTTCTTGTCTTTCTTAGACAAATTCTGAATTACCTAAACATGAAATCAGCCTTTCCTTGTCCTTTATGAACAAATTCTGAATTACCTAAACATGAAATCATCCTTTCCTTGTCCTTTTTGGACAAATTCTGAGCTCTCTGAGGAGCAGCAGCATTTTGGGCAGTGGCAGTGGCAGGGAATGGTGCCCAGGGTGGGGTGCTGAGGCGGGCAGGGCCCAGGAGCAGCTGCATCCTGGGGGTCCCAGCAGGAAATCAGAGCTGCTCCTCTGCTCCTCTCCTTTTCTAGAAGCCCAGGATGTGACTGAAGTGGCCCTGCAATGAGAGAATCTCAGGTCACTACAAAAGGCTTTTCCTCACTCTTCGTTTTCAAATTTTATTTGAATTTGCTGAGTACCACCACAAACATTCCCTTTTTTCTTTTCCTCCAGGGATGAGTGGAAATAAATTAACACAATCATTGTCACAGCTCCTGGTGGAAACTCTGATGGAAACTTTGCCTTTTGATTCCATAAATCAGAGATTTTGCTATGAACATCCAACATTCCCTCACACCTTTCCTCATTTTGGCTCTGGAAGGAGCAATATTTTCAATACTTTATCTATTCCTTAGAAAGGAAATATCCAATTACAGAAAAAAAAAGGAGATAGAATGAGATTCCTGAGTATTTTATTACAATCCAGTAAATCAAGGACAAGTAAAATTGGGTAGGGGAAGTGTTATGTTATTGTTTCTTTCAGTTACTTCCCAAATTCTGCTTTTTAGAGAGAATTTGAAAAATGTGTTGAGAATCTCCAGATTTTCCAACTCCAACTGCTGCTGGAAATATTAATTCATGCTCTGCTGAAATGCTAAATCCATCTCCTTTATTTTTAATTTCCACACTTTATTCCCGAGCAATGCAATTGTGGAGGTAATTAACTTCATGTTTTAATGGGGAACAAGCCTCAATCCTTTTTGTCCCAAAAAAGCAAATTGCCACACTTACAGATTCTCCAGCAACACATCTTGGGCAGGGCTGGGAAATGCCTTTGCTCCCATGGTTTTCCAAAATCTGAGGAACAAAACCAGACACAAATTCATCAAAATGAAGGGAAGGGGAAAGAGAGGGAAGGGGAAAGGGGAAAGGGGAAAGGGGAAAGGGGAAAGGGGAAAGGGGAAAGGGAAAAGGGAAAAGGGAAAAGGGAAAAGGGAAAAGGGAAAAGGGAAAAGGGAAAAGGGAAAAGGGAAAAGGGGAAGGGAAAGGGAAGGGGAGGGAAGAGAAGAAAGAAAAGGGGTAAAAAACAAAGAAAAGAAAGAAAGTGAAAAAACTAAAGAAAAAGGGAAAAAAGAAAAAAAAAGAAGAAAACGAAGGCGGCAATTATTCACAGCTTTATGATAAAATGTATTTGAGAAATGATTTTGCAGCAAGCCCATGGACAGTGCTAACTTACCATGGAGTTCTGCTTTGCCTTTGCAGCCCAGGGAGCAGAGTCAGGGAGCAGTTTCTGCCTGGGCTCCAGGTCCATGGCACAGTCCACGAGCTGGGCAGCAGCCTCCCCTGGAATGGTGTCCAGCAGCCTGCAGAGCCGCTTCTGCAACAGCCAGAGGCCACATTCACATCTCTGTGCAGGCCCAAACCCTGGGGATGCTCCTGCCTGTGCCTCCCAAGGATCACACATCCAGTGGGAAGAACACCAGGACAACAATGGGGCATTAGGGCAGAACCCCCAGGTTTGGGGCTCCCAGTGCCCCCTGTGCTGGGAGAGCAGGAATTCTGTGTGTCACACCCCTCTGTGCCCCTGAGAGCAGGAATTCTGTGTGTCACACCTCAGTGTGTCCCTGGGAGCAGGAATTCTGTGTGTCACACCTCTCTGTGCCCCTGGGAGCAGGAATTCTGTGTGTCACACCTCAGTGTGCCCCTGGGAGCAGGAATTCTGTGTGTCACACCCCTCTGTGCCCCTGAGAGCAGGAATTCTGTGTGTCACACCTCAGTGTGTCCCTGGGAGCAGGAATTCTGTGTGTCACACCTCTCTGTGCCCCTGGGAGCAGGAATTCTGTGTGTCACACCTCTCTGTGCCCCTGGGAGCAGGAATTCTGTGTGTCACACCCCTCTGTGCCCCTGGGAGCAGGAATTCTGTGTGTCACACCCCTCTGTGCCCCTGGGAGCAGGAATTCTGTGTGTCACACCCCTCTGTGCCCCTGAGAGCAGGAATTCTGTGTGTCACACCCCTCTGTGCTCCTGGGAGCAGGAATTCTGTACCTGGGAGCAGGAATTCTGTGTCTCACACCCCTCTGTGCCCCTGGGAGCAGGAATTCTGTGTGTCACACCTCAGTGTGCCCCTGGGAGCAGGAATTCTGTACCTGGGAGCAGGAATTCTGTGTGTCACACCCCTCTGTGCCCCTGAGAGCAGGAATTCTGTGTGTCACACCCCTCTGGGAGCAGGAATTCTGTGTGTCACCCCTCTCTGTGCCCCAGTCCCATGCAATCCCTGGCAAAAGGCATCCCTGAGCCTCCACCCCAGCAGGACGTGGCACGGGGCTGATCCAGGGATCCAAGGAATAGTGTGGAAGGAGTGATTAAACCCAGGAAACAGAAGGAAAAGTGATCCCAGTGACAGGAACACCCTTGGAGAGGAGATGAGTGTCTTCCCTGAACACTGGCACCTTTCCCCAGCTCTCCAGTGCCCTCCATGCACTCCCTCCTCCTGCAGCTGTGCCCTGAGCTGTGCCCAGCACTGAGGGATGTTGGGCTGTCCTGGGAACCCAAGGGTTGGGCTGAGCCCTCCCAGGGCCCTGTGAGCCCTCCCAGGACCAGGGGCTCCCAAAAATGCTGCTCCGAGCAGCACGGTGGCACTGGGCAGGTTAAACTGCAAACCCACAGAAAACACCACAGAAAACCCACACAACAGTGGAACCCTCCAGAACAACATCCCTGGCCTGAGAGAGCGCGTGGAAAGGGACCCCAGGGCTCCTTGGAACTGCCCAGGAAATTAACACAAGCATGGGAATTACAAAAGTGACCCAGATTTAGGGCCTGAATTCCAGAGGGACGCTCGCGCACTTGGGATGTTCTTCCCCAAACAAACTTTGTTTAAGGAATCCCAACATTCCATCTCTCTCTCCAGGGAGAGGATGTGCTGGCACAGAACTGACAGACTACTGAAGCACAGAAATGGAATTCAAAGCTGGAATAAGTTATGGAAAACCAAAAATGGATCAATGCACCAGGAACCTCAGCAGGAAAGAGCTGAGATGGGATCAGCAGGAAGGGAGGCAGGAGAGCAGGAGGGGAAGGGAGTCCAAAAGTGAAATATGTACTGTAGTAAGAAAGAGAATAATGGGATAAAAGTCTGGGGAGGTCCTCTAAATCCTTGAGATTGGCTCCCATTGGGAAAATATCCTCTGCTTCTGCTGCTGCAGAACTCCTCCTTTATGGCAGGGAAAGGCCAAGCGCAGCAGCAAACTGGGAATCTATGTGAGATGAGGGGGCAAAGGGAAAAATGACTCCATGCCCAGCACCAGAAGGAATTTGGCTGATTAAAAATAAACTCCAGGTATTGTTTTGGGAGGTTTGCTTGGTGTCAGTGCCAGGAATAGGAATTCAGCACATGGAGGAGACAAACTTATCCCAGCAACGCCAGCCTGGGGAGCTCCTTGCCTCTGGAACTCTCTCCTGGGGAAGAGGCAGCCCTGGATCCTGTGACTGACAGGGACCCACCTGCTCCAAAGGCGAGCAGGGTCTGTTTGCTTGTGCCAGGGAATGCCCTGGCAGCTGGGAAATGAGCAGGACACGAGCAGGGGCAGGAGCACATCGCCCTGCAGGGCAGTCGCTCTCGCTCTCTTGTCCAGCTGGAAGCCCTGGGAAATCCCACTCGTTTTCAGTGATGGGATAAAGACCTGAGAGAGGAAACCAAACTGCTGCCAAACCCAGCTCCACCGGACAGCCGACCTGAAGGAGTTGTAGCAGAAGTTCTGCTCATTTCTTGGGGTATTTTGGGTTCAGTTTTAAAGATTTCCTCCAAGTTTAATGTGTTCTTGTTGTGCATTTTCTGCGTTTTGACCCCGTTTTTAAAGGCAGGCTGTCTCCTGTTTGGGATTGCACTCACCCTGTGCCACAGAGCCCAGCTCTCCCTGGATCCCTAAGGAATGATGGCCCTGGGGAGATGCTCCTTGCTTTTTGCCCTATGGAAACATGGCTGGGAAAGCAGAGGGAGTGTAGGATTCCACCTGGGAAACTCTCCCTGAAGATCAATCCAAACCAGGACACACTGGGAGCTCTGGCCTTGAAAATCTGATATTCCTCTAAGTCCAGATGCCTTAAAATCCAACCTTCCAACCCAAACCAGGCTGGGATTCTGATTCCTCTCTCTGTCATCTTGGAGCCAGGAGAGCAGCAAGAGATGGAATTAGTGAGGCTGCCTGGTAAAGAGGGTTTCAGCCAGAAAGAAAGAAAAAAATTAAAAAAAGAAAAGAGGAACAAAAAAAAGGAAAAATACCAAAGAGGGGGAAAGGGAAAAAAAAAAAAAAAGAAAAAAAGGGAAGAAAGGGGAAATAAGTGAAAAGAAAAAAAGGAAAAAGAAAAAAGGGAAAGAAAAAGGAGAAACAGTAATTAAAAAGGAATAAAGGAAAAGGAAGAAAGGGAAAAACGAGAAATTCAAAAGGAAAAAAGGAAAAAATGAGAAATTCAAAAGGAAAAAAGGAAAAACCAAGAAATTCAAAAGGAAAAAAAGGAAAAGCCAAGAAATTCAAAAGGAAAAAAAGGAAAAGCCAAGAAATTCAAAAGGAAAAAAGGAAAAGGAAGAAAGGGGAAAAGACATTAAAAAAAAAAAAAGAAAAGGGGGGAAATAAAACGCGAAAGAGAAAATGTGGAAAAAGAAACTATGGAAAAACAGGAAAAAAGAAGCGAAACCCCGGAGCCTGTTGAGCGCAGTCCCCGGCCCGGCCGTGCCCGCCCCCGAGCTGGCACCGCCCGCGACAGTCGCGACACGGCCCGGGCGGCGACGGGACCGGGACCGGGACTGGCACCGGGCCCTGCCCCAGCCTCTGCCCCATTCCCGTTCCCATTCCCGGTCCCGATTTCCCGTTCCCGTTCCCGATTCCCATCCCCGTTCCCGACTCACACATTCCGGCTCCCCGGCTGCCCCCGGCCCCAGCGCCCCACGCCGGCCCCGCACCGGCACCGCGGCCATGGCGGCACCGGATCCGCCCCGGGACCGCCCCTGGAACCGGCACCGCCCCGGGATCCGCCCCTGGAACCGGCACCGCCCCGGGATCCGCCCCTGGAACCTCCCCCCGGCACCGGCACCACCCAGGGAACCGGGATCCACCGCCGGAGCCTCCCCCCGACACCGGCACCGCCCCTGGAACCGGGATCAACCGGGATCAACCGGGATCCACCCCAGGGCCGCCCCTGTAACGCGGTCCCGCGAGGCGCTCCTGGAACCGCCCCTGGATCCAGCCCCGGAGCCTCCCCCGGCACCGGCACCGCCCCGGGATCCACCCCCGACCTCGGGATCTGCCCCCGGAGCCTCCCCCGGCCCGGCCGGGGATGCGGCCCTGGTTCCAGCACCGAGCTGGGCCGACCGCGGCCGCTCCGCTTCCATCGCGCAGCGCTGAGCCCGGCCCCGTCCGGATCACGGCATGGCCACACTTGGGAGGGACCCCAAACCCACCCAGTGCCAGCCCTGCCATGGCAGGGACACCTCCCACTGTCCCAGGGGCTCCCAGCCCCAGTGTCCAGCCTGGCCTTGGGCACTGCCAGGGATCCAGGGGCAGCCCCAGCTGCTCTGGGCACCTGTGCCAGGGCTGCCCACCCTGCCAGGGAACAATTCCCAATTCCCAATATCCCATGTAAATTTACCCACTGTCAGCTTAAGCCATTGCCCTTGTCCTGTCCCTCCATCTCTCAGCTCCTTCACACTTGGTTCACCCTGGATCCTTCTCCAGGCTGAACGATCCCCATTGTCCCAGCCCTTCTCACCGGGTGAAGCTCCCTCCATCCCTCTCTAATAAAGCACTTCCAGCTGCACCCAGCGGTTTTGCAGGAGAGGACACAGATTATTCCCTGGCATCCATCCCCTCTGGAGCTCTGGAACACTGCCTTGACCTGAGGCTGTGGAGAAGCTTCCAAAATGGAATGGCAGAATGAGGATTGTGGGTGTAGAGTTTGAATAGAAGTGTGTGATATCACAGGCTGGGAAACTTAGAGTTTAATGGTTTAGAATACAGCAATATATATAAGGTAAAATGGAGGTTTTAGGCCAGTCCTTCTTCTTCACCTTCTTCTTAACCTTCTTCTCCATGGTTTGGGTGGTTTTGTGTAATTGGATAAAAAAAGTCCTCATTGCAGATCACAGGTGGTTGGGTATTGGGTTAAAAGTAAAAATAATTGATGTGTCATTTCTTAATTGGACAGTTTATTCTTAAAAGGCCTTGTAGAGAGAGAGATGGGGCTCCATTTTCAGTTTGTTGAAGTGCTGCAGAACTCAGGGTTTGTGAGACTGTGACAGAGATAAGAGCTAACAAACATCTGAGTCCCAACAAGAAATACCCTCTCACAATTTAATCCCAACCTTGGCAGAAAGGAAACAAAGAATTCATTAGAAAGGGAACACAGGATTCTTTGGGAAAGCTGCTGGAAAACTGCAGTGGGATTTGGGAGCAGCTGGGAGCTCTCACCCAGCCTCTTCCCTCGGGGGTTTTCACCCCAGTTTGGGCTCCACATCCGTCTCTCTTTGGGGCTGCAGGTGAGCAGGGCATCACCTGGCACTTGCAGGGTAACTTGTCCCCCTGCCTGTTGTCACAGACACATTTTATGGAAAATCCTTTCCTTAGGATTTTTTCTCCTGAGAAGCTGAGAGGCCTCAGGAACAAAATATAAATAATAATTATTTGCTGCTGTGGAATGCAACAGGTGCATCTGTGATTGGTCTCATGTGGTTGTGTTTAATTAATGGCAATCACAGCCCAGCTGCCTCGGACTCGCTGGTCAGTCACAAGCTTTTGTTATCATTCCAATTCTTTCCTTTGCTTTCAAGCCTTCTGATGAAATTTATTCTTCTATTCTTTTAGTATAGTTTTTCAAAAATATTATTATTATAGTTTTATATATTATTTATTATATTTATTTAGTTTAGCTTATATATTATTATATTTATTTATATATTATTTTATTATTATAGTTTTATATTACATATATTTTATATAAATATATAACAATACATTTATATATATATACAATATAATCATATTTATATTAGTATAGTTTTAAATATTATATATAATAAAATATATACTATTAAAATATAAATATTAAATCTATTAAATATAAATATTAAATATATGAAATATTAAATTATAATATTAAAATATTTTATATATTGTTTATTATATTTATATATTAATATTATTATAGTGCTATATGTAATACACATATATTATATACATATATAATAATATATTTATATTATTAGTATTTTAAAAATATCATATACATCATAAAATAATAAACCAGCCTTGTGAAACATGGAGTCAGATCCTCATCTCTTCCCTCTTCCTGGGGCCCCTGTGAACACGGCCACAGCCTGCTCCACCCCGAGTCCTTGAAGCTTCCCTGGGATGCTCCTGCCAAGGCTCCATATGGGATCCCAGAAATACAGCTGGATGGGAGGCAGATTTAGCTGTCCCCTGGCTCCAGGCCTATCCATTTGGAGCTGCAGTCCTCGCCTCTCCCTTCCCAAGGAGCCTGCAAAGGTCTCGGGGAGCTCTCTCAAGGCTGAGCTTTGATTTACAGGCAGAGCTGGAGCTGACGTGGGCCACAGAGGGAAGAGATTTATTTCCAGGGGTTCCATCTGTCCCACTCGGAGCGGAACCGTGGCACAGAGCCTGGGCCTCCATCCCATAATGCCTGGGCCCAGAGCCTTGGGATTCCTTCTGCTGAATTCCTCCACAGCCCAAATCCAGCCCTGCTCGTTGGGAACTCACCAGGAATGGGACTGGGACAGGAATCCCAAAAAAGAGCCCTAAACCCAGGGAAGATTCAGGTGTCCTGTGGCTGCTATCTGACTGTGAGTCCTTTCTTTAAACAAGTATCCTACATAGCATCGTTTCTATTTTAACATTTTGTTATAACCTAAAACAGTATTGAACACACTGTGTAAGAAAATGCATACAGCATCACTTTCTAGCGCAACACATATAATATTCATTTGAATATCTGTGAAAAGCCAATCATGAAATACGCATTTTTCACCGTTACCAACTATTTTACAACAGTTCCTGATCCATTTTTATCAATTGGAAGGGCACGGGGGACACGTCACACGCAGGACACGTGACACGGGGGCACGTGACACAGGGAGGACACGTGACACAGGGAGGGAGGAACACGTGACACGGGAAAGATACGTGACGCGGGTGGGACACGTGACGCGGCGGGACACGTGACGCAGGAGGAAGCGCGTGCCCAGGGCGGACGCACGTGACCCGCGGTTGCCGCCACGTGACCGGCGGTGACCCCACGTGTCCCTGGCTGGGCCCGGCCATGGCGGGCGCGGTGGCGGCCGCGGGCTCCGTGGAGCAGTTCCAGAAGCTGCTGCAGCGCCCGGACAGGTGCGGGGGCACCGGGGAGAGGGAGGGGGCAATGGGCCCGTCCCTGTGTCCCTGACCGTGGCTCCCGTCCCGCCGTGCCGTCCCTCAGTCTCCTCCGTGGGGGCCATCTCCGCCTGCCGTCCCTCCGTGCCATCCATTGGGGCCATGCCGGTGTCACCTCTGTGGGGGCCAGCCCGGGTTCCCCATCCCGGTGTCCCCTCTTTGGGTCCCGTCCCTCGGTGCCATCCCGCTGTCCCCTCCCGGTCCCCGCAGGCACAGCTCGGGAGGGGCCGGTGCTGCCGCAGCGCCCGGTAAAAACTGCGAGGGGAAGATAAAAAACCCCAAAATGGGGACAAACCGAGCCCCAGGCTGCTCAAAGGCTGGGCTTTGGCCTGGCTATGGCCAGGCTTAGGCTTAGGCTTAGCTTAGGCTCGGGCTTAGGCCTGGTTTAGGCTTGGCTTTGGCCCGGTTTACGCTGGGGCTTTGGCCGGGCTTAGGCTCGGCTTTGGCTCGGCCTCTGCCAGCCCCGCGTTCCCCTGGCTCAGCTCTCAGAGGTGCCGCCCTATAGCAGGTCCTGCCGCAGGGAATTTGGGGCCAAATTGGGCGAATCCTCTGGAAAATCCCATTAACCAGAGCTGCCCTGAGAGCTGGGATTGTCCTCCAGCTGTGGGAGTGTCACCAAAACCGCCGGGACACTCCAGTGGAAACAGCAGTGGCACATCAGTGGAAACAGCAGTGGCACATCAGTGGGAACAGCAGTGGAATTGCAGTGGGAACAGCAGTGGAATTGCAGTGGGAGCAGCAGTGGAATTGCAGTGGGAGCAGCAGTGAAATTTCAATTGGAACAGCAGTGGCACTGCAGTGGAAACACCAATGACATTTTAATGGGAACAGCAGTGACATTTCAATGGGAACAGCAGTGGAATTTCAATGGGAACAGCAGTAGGAACAGCAGTGGAATTGCAGTGGGAACAGCAGTGGAATTGCAGTGGGAACAGCAGTGGAATTGCAGTGGGAACAGCAGTGAAATTTCAATTGGAACAGCAGTGGCACTGCAGTGGAAACACCAATGACATTTCAATGGGAACAGCAGTGGAATTTCAATGGGAACAGCAGTGGGAACAGCAGTGACATTGCAGTGGCACAGCAGTGACTTTGCAGTGGGAACAGCAGTGGAATTGCAGTGGGAACAGCAGTGACACTGCAGTGGGAACAGCAGTGACCAACTATGCTGTGACCAATGTCACAGCAGTGACACTGCAGTGGGAGCACCATCATTTGGGTGTTTATTGACACAGAAGTGGCTCTGAATTATTCTTCTCCCACCCAGGGTCTCATTAAGCTGGTTTTGTGCTCTATGATTAATGACAGGGCTCTGCTTTTCCTACAACCCCAGCCTGGTCTGGGATCTGCAGGCCCATCCAGGGACACCTTGCAGTGTCCCAGGGTGCTCCCAGCCCTGTCCTGAGCAATCCCAGTGGTTTTATTCCAGTGCTCCATGCACGTGTTTAACTGTGGGAGGGGAGAGCTGCACTAAGCACCTCTGTAATTACAGATTTACAGTGATTAAAAGTGTGGGGGAATACCAGCATCAGTTCTGAGAGATAACCAAAGGAAATGCTGTTAAATGATGGTCCTGGTAAAAAGGAGCAGAATTTCTTCCAGACTTGCTGTAGGACTTGCACTTTCCCTGCTGGAATTGTCCTTCACCTGGATTGTTTTGTAGGGACATTGCAGAAGGAATTTGTGTGCCCAAAGGAAAGTGGCTTCAGGAACAAACACGATATTTTAAGGTTATTTAAAAAAACCCACCAGTAATTTTCTCATTGCCTTTGTCACAGAACATAATTCAGTTTTCTCTCTAAAGGAATTGATGATTTTATCCATGTTCTTGGACCCAAGATGAGCTGATAATTCTGATAACTCTTCTTCTGCTTCCTTTGAAAACAGCATTTATAATTACATGTTAATTTAATAGCATTTCCTGTTTCAGAAAATTAACATTTCTTGCATTAAGTCATCGGTAAGTTTGTGTTGTAGAATGAGTGTAAATCTTGATATTTAAGGAGAAAATTGTGGATTTGTCATAACCTTTTTGTCCCTGCCCTGTTTAATAGTGGAGCTTTTTTTTTTAACCTTGACTGAACACAGGGAACACTTTTTGTTTGGAGTTACTTAAGTGCTTCATTTTGCCAACTCTTTATTTTTTATCTCTCTTAATGTTTTCAAGTACTCTTTTTTTTTTTTTTAAGTGAAATTGAAGTGCTCAGTGAGCAGTTTGGTTGCAAAATCTGAATTGTTTTGTGAATGAATTTTAAAAAAATCAAACAACTGAAACGATACCCTTAGTGCAATTGAATTTAAAATATGTTCTTCCTGAAGATAAAAATGAATATATTGCAGCTGGATGTTGGTAAGGAAGGAGCAGGCTCTGGTGGGATAAGGATGAAATAATCCTGTGGTGATTTGCCCTGAGGCCCATCCCTGTGGCCAGGTGTGTCCTGCTGTGTGCACAGACTTAAACTGAGGACTTTGGGGGGAAAGAAAAGTTGTTCTGTTGTTTTTCTGCCAGAATTTTCTAGAGTTTCACTGAAAAATTGAGTTTGTGAAAGCATCCAGGGTGTGTGACCAGGTCACAGGAACTGCTCCAGCAGGGATCTTGTGCTGCCCATGCAGCTGCTACAATTTACAATGAATTTCCATTATTTAGGGATAAAAGGCATGAATGAAGTGGCTGCTGTGGGATGGGTGAATTGATTTCTCTATTTTTCTAAGTAAATTAGTACTAGTACATTGTATCTTTAATTCCTTATTCCCATTCTCTGGGAGTGCAGAGGGTTTGACCTCTGCCAAGATGGAGAATGGAGTTGAAAATTCCAATGTCTTGTCACTGCTGCTGTCCCAGGTGTTTAAGCCCATGGGAGCTGGTACCCAGTGGGATGGGATTTCTGCTCACACCTTTAAATGCTGTGTAGAACCAATCCCAAACATCCCAGCAAACCTGCAATAAGAAGTTGGAGCTAATGCAAGCAGAAAAATAACATTGCAGTGTGACAGGCTCTGTACTGCTTGGCCTCAGCACTGCTGCCTGGGCTCGGAATGGTCCCTGGGAAAGGAAACTCCTGGCTGTGCTTTAAAGGGTTTTTTTTATCTCAGGTGATGCCTCAGGTTTAGGTTTTCTATTTTCCCATTCCGTGCTGCTTTAGTGTGCAGGTCTGGGCTCACATCAGGGGATGCTGAGCTCTGTGCACAGAGCAGGGACACAAAACAATTCCTGCTCCAGCTGGGCACCAAGGACAAATGATCCAAATCTCAGCCCCAGAGCACAAACCCCGTGGGCTGGAGAGAGAAAAACAAGCAGGGTGGGACTGCAGGGGCTAAAGCTGGGATGGGACAATGAACTGCAAGATGCAAATGGAGCAGAACTGATCCCAGGGACAGAGCCCGTGCCCGGCCGTGCATTTTGGGGCCATTTTGGTTCATCTTGGGTGCAGCCCTGGCTGGGCTCTGGTGCTGCCCAAGGTGGATCCATGGAGGGGATCCTTTGAATAAATCCCTGCTTTATTCTGGAGCTCTGCCCAGCATCTCTAGGGCAGCAGATGGTGGGGATTGATGGGTTTTCATGGAGTGCCCATCCCTGGAGGGGGCACTCTGGGCTCTGGGGACAAGGTGGCTGTCAGGGCCCTGGATGGTGATTCTGGAGGCCTCTCCCAGGCTCAGGGGTTCCATGGTGCAGGTGTTTTTTGGCAGCTGTCCCCAGCAGTGCTGTTTCTCCCCAGGTCCCTGGTGGTGGTGCACTTCTGGGCACCATGGGCTCCGCAGTGCGCGCAGATGAACGAGGTGATGGCAGCGCTGGCACGGGAGCACAGCCAGGTCACCTTCGTGCAGGTGAGCACAGGGACAGCCCTGGGGCAGGGAAATGTTCCACAGCAGGGGCAGCTTCCTCTTGGGCTGCCTCTGGGGCCTCACATTTCCAATGCCCCTCTCACATCTGGTGTCCCAGAGGTGCTGCTGCTCTCAGGGATGGCTCAGACTGGGAATCCTGGAATGCCTTGGGTGGGAAGGGACCCCAAAGCCCATCCAGTGTTATCCCAAAGTGCTGCTGCTGTCAGGGATGGCTCAGACAGGGAATCCTGGAATGCCTTGGGTGGGAAGGGACCCCAAAGCCCATCCAGTGTTACCCTAGAGGTGCTGCTGCTGTCATGCATGGCTCAGACTGGGAATCCTGGAATGCCTTGGGTGGGAAGGGACCCCAAAGCCCATCCAGTGTTACCCTAGAGGTGCTGCTGCTGTCATGCATGGCTCAGACTGGGAATCCTGGAATGCCTTGGGTGGGAAGGGACCCCAAAGCCCACCCAGTGCCACCCCTGCCATGGCAGGGACACCTCCCACTGTCCCAGGGTGTCCAGCCCTGGGGATGTTCCTGGTTAAGGGATCTCAGGGTTCCCAGAGGATTCCTGTGGCACTGAAATGACACTTCAGGAAAGTGAGCTCACCCCCTGCAGGGCTGTCACTCTGCTCTGTGAGACCCTCTGCACATCCCCTGGGATCCAGGGGAAGGAGGAAGGAATTCCCTTCACGTGCTGTTGGTTTTAAACCAAATTTCTCTGGTTAATGAGACACTTGTGGGATGATGAGGGCAGGGAGCAGTGGAGCAGCCAGCTGTGTGTGAGTATTTTAATGTGATTTTTACAGCCTTTAGGATGTGTGTATGGGTTTTTTTAATGATTCCTCTCAGTTGGTATTTGTAAAACAGGTCAGAATTATTTTAATGGTATTTTATGACTTAGAGCTCCAAAAGACTAATTTTCAACATACTGCAAATTCAAGATGCTTACATTTATCTAAAGTTTAGTAGCTTTTACTCAGCCCAACAAAGTCTGCAATCTCTCAATTGCCTTTTTATTATTCCTATATCATTTATTTATGACCTTTATTATTCAGCTGTAATTTATATTTTAATAACAAGGTTCCAAAGTCATCCAGGGCTGTGAAACCAAGGTGGTGGCACATCCTTTCCCCATCTTCCCTCCTCCCAGCAATTTTAATATTACTGGTGTTCTTGCTCAGACAAAATAAGCTGATGAAAATTCTTGGGTGAATTTTACTGATACATTTTGGAGGGAGGAGCTCCTCCAGAGGAATATATTTGATTTTGGCAGTCCTTGGTGGGATTTTTGTGTTCCAGAATATCCAGCCTGCCTTTGAATTGGCAAGCACCTGTTACCTCCCGAGATGTTTGGTTGAAATGAATGTGTTCATATCCCAGAGTGCTCACAAACAACATTTTGGGAAGCTGTGTCAATGAGAGCAAGTTCCTGAAATATGAAATGAAATCTGTTCTGTGTTATATGGAACAGAAATATCCAGCAGGAAATTTTGCTGGGAAAGAAAATGAGTATTAGACATGGAAGTCATCATTTGCCCCTGGAAAAAGAATCAATAATTGGAATTACCTATTCTCTTTCAATTATGTACAAGCTTTCAGTTCAATTTCAGTTGGATGTAAGCTTTCCTTTTCTAGCTGTAGTTTTCCAGTTGGTTCTCCTGGAGTGGTGATTTCCAGGAGGAGGCTGGGGCTCACTTCTGATGCTCCTGCTTTGCCTCTCTAATTAGTGGCTTCATTAGGAGCCCGTGTGGCTGGAGCAGCTCGAAATCTGAGCCAGTGAAGATAAATTTTCATAGCAAATGCCTCTGTGATGGAAGTGGGAGCAGGAATCCCAGGCTGGGCACTCAGCAGCCTTGCAGGAGTTAAAAATCAAGTTCAAAATCACCCTCAGCTGAAGGAGCAGCTCCTTTTCCCCTCCTAATTTGCAGGGGGCTGCAGATGGCAGGGGTGATGCAGAGCCCCCCAAGGGGGCACAAAAGCACCTCTGTGGTGGTGACATCACTGGGGCCAGTGATTTATGGCTTCCAATATAGCAGGAGCTGCACAGCATTGAGAATTTACTGGGTCAGGAGTGCACCAAAAATTTTATTCACAGCCTCCGGGCGTCTTTTGAAATGTGCAACAAAATAAAACCCTCTGAACCTGTTCTGACACCGTGGAGGTTCAGCGGGTGCCATGCAGCCCAGAGAGTCTCATTTAAATGCAAATGTCTCCCAGACTTCAGCAGCAGATCCTGCTTAAATGTATAAAATGCCAGGGAGAACATTCCAGGATTGACACTTGAAACTTTAAAGAAGATTATGAAAATAATCCAGTTCTTTTTTTTTTTTTTTTTTTGGTTTGGTTTTTAGCTGGAAGCTGAGGCTGTGCCTGAAGTGTCTGAAAAATATGGAATTAGTTCTGTTCCAACGTTCTTGTTCTTTAAGGTAAGAGGAAATGGATTTAAGAGGAGATGAATTTAAGAAAAGTGGATTTAAGGGAAAATAGAATCCATGTGGACTCTTAATACTTATACTTTTGTAATACTCTACCAGAACCTTAGGAGCTTTCTCAGTGAGGAAACACCTCTGTAACTGATTGAATCCTATGCAGTGGAACCTAAAAATGGAAATAGATATGGTTTTTGTACTTTTGTACTTTATGTGGAATAGTTCAGGGCTTCCTTAAGTGCTTCGGGACTCATACATAGTTTTTATTTCACTTGTTGTACTTGGGTCAAAAAATTTACAGCAACATTTCCTTGTGTTGTAGTGGGGGAAAAGACCCAAGTAAATATGGTAATAACAGAAATAACAATTCTGTTTGGGTGCTATTTGCCTGTGATGATAAAATGGATAATATTTTATGAAATAAGTATTTCTAGAGGCAAACTTGGTGCTGTTACTGAGGCCTTGCAGTGGCTGCCCAGAACAGAGGCTAGACAAGGTTGAGAGGATAAAGTGGGTATTTATTAAAGGCCTTCCACAGGTGCACCTTGGGCACTCAGAGCCTCAGAGCTACCCCAGGATGAGCCATGGGTTTGTCAGGCAGATGTGAGTTTGGGCTACTTACATAGCAGGGGTTCATCCTCCAGTTCAGCTTCAGGTGATGAAGTTATTCACCCCCAGTTTGCTCCCTCCAATTCACTTTAGTTTATTCTTTTCAGGACCTGAGGCTGTAGGGTGTCCTGAGTTTCAGGCCTGGAGGGATTGTTTAGTCTGACCAAAATGTGAAGACACTTAACTTCACTTTGTATGGAGTTCAGAGTTAGGCACTAATGCAGCACAGGATCTGAAAAACAGAAAAGCTGAAATCCCTGAGGCATCATTAGTGCCAGAAAGGCACGAGCCTGGCAGTGCAGCTCCTCCCTGAAAGCCAGGCCTGGCTGGTTGGCTTTGCTGTGCCTGAGGCTAGGCTGGACTGAAGGCTGTGAGTGCTGTGCTTGAGCCAGGCCTAGACTGAAGGCTGTGAGTGCTGTGCTTGAGCCAGGCCTAGACTGAAGGCTGTGAGTGCTGTGCTTGAGCCCAGGCTGGACTGAAGGCTGTGAGTGCTGTGCTTGAGCCTGGGCTGGGCTGAAGGCTGAGAGTGCTGTGCTTGAGCCCAGCCTAGACTGAAGGCTGTGAGTGCTGTGCTTTACCCCAGGCTGGACTGAAGGCTGTGAGTGCTGTGCTTGAGCCCAGCCTAGACTGAATGCTGTGAGTGCTGTGCTTTAGCCCAGGCTGGACTGAAGGCTGTGAGTGCTGTGCTTGAACCTGGGCTGGACTGAAGGCTGTGAGTGCTGTGCTTGAGCTTGGGCTGGGCTGAAGGCTGTGAGTGCTGTGCTTGAACCTGGGCTGGACTGAAGGCTGTGAGTGCTGTGCTTGAGCCCAGCCTAGACTGAAGGCTGTGAGTGCTGTGCTTGAACCTGGGCTGGACTGAAGGCTGTGAGTGCTGTGCTTGAGCCTGGGCTGGACTGAAGGGTATGGTTTAGCCCACCTGGACTGAAGGCTGGGCTTTATCCCCTGTGTCCTGCAGTCTGTGTGTGCTGTGTCTATGCCTGTTCTGGGGCAGTGTGTGCTGTGTCTGTGCCTGTTCTGGGGCAGTGTGTGCTGTGTCTGTGCCTGTTCTGGGGCAGTGTGTGCTGTGTCTGTGCCTGTTCTGAGGGCAGTGTGTGCTGTGTCTATGCCTGTTCTGAGGCACTCTATGCTGTATCTATGCCTGTTCTGAGGCACTCTATGCTGTATCTATGCCTGTTCTGATGCACTCTATGCTGTGTTTATGCCTGTTCTGAGGGCAGTGTGTGCTGTGTTTATCCCCCTGTTCTGAGGCACTCTGTGCTGTGTCTGTGCCTGTTCTGCACTCTGTGCTGTGTCTGTGCCTGTTCTGCAGTCTGTGTGTGCTGTATCTATGCCTGTTCTGCACTCTGTGTGTTATTTCCTGCAGAATTCCCAGAATGTGGACCGCCTGGACGGCGCTCACGCCCCGGAGCTGACGCAGAAGGTTCAGCGGCACGCGGCGGGCACGGCGGGCACGGCCGGCCCCGGGGGCGCTGCCCCTGCCCAGGAGCAGCTGCACGCCCGCCTCAGGGGGCTCATCAACGCTGCCCCCTGCATGCTCTTCATGAAGGGCTCTCCCAAGGAGCCCCGCTGCGGTGAGCCAGCCTGCCTGCTGGGCCTCCCTGGCACAGAGCGCTGCGGCGTGCCCCACCAGGCCAGGCTGGGGCCAGCGCGGCCCTGAGCCAGGGTGGGGTCGGCCCTGAGCCAGGCTGGGGCCAGCACGGCCCTGAGCCAGGCTGGGGCCAGCACGGCCCTGAGCCACGGTGGGCACGGCCCTGAGCCAGGCTGGGGCCAGCACGGCCCTGAGCCAGGCTGGGGTCAGCATGGCCCTGAGCCAGGGTGGGGCCAGCGCGGCCCTGAGCCACGGTGGGCACGGCCCTGAGCCGGGGTGGGGTCAACACAGCCCTGAGCCAGGCTGGGGCCAGCACGGCCCTGAGCCACGGTGGGGTCAGCACGGCCCTGAGCCACGGTGGGCACGGCCCTGAGCCAGGGTGGGCATGGCTGTAGGCCAGGGTGGGCACAGCCCAGCTGTGGGCCAGGTTGAGCCCAGCTGTGAGCCAGGTTGAGCCCAGCTGTGAGCCCAGCTGTGAGCCAGGTTGAGCCCAGCTGTGAGCCCAGCTGTGAGCCAGGGTGGGGTCAGCACAGCTGTGGGCCAGGTTGAGCCCAGCTGTGGGCCAGGTTGAGCCCAGCTGTGAGCCCAGCTGTGAGCCAGGCTGAGCCCAGCTGTGAGCCCAGCTGTGCTGAGATCCCAGGGGGTTCCACTGCAGGCTTCAGCAGGCAGATGGTGGAGATCCTGCAGAAGCACGGCGTGGCCTTCAGCAGCTTTGACATCTTCTCTGACGAGGAGGTGCGCCAGGGGCTCAAAGCCTTCTCCAACTGGCCAACCTACCCCCAGCTCTACGTCAAGGGCGAGCTCATCGGGGGCCTGGACATCGTCAAGGTGACGCCACGCAATTTCCCTCCTCTCTGGCTTGCCAGAAATGTCCTTGTCTTGCTTCTTCCACCTCATGTTTGCTTTTTTCCCTAATTTCCCCAGGAGCTCGAGGCGTCAGGAGAGCTGGACACAATCTGCCCAAAGGGCCAGAAGCTGGAGGACAGGTGGGGGAGTTATAACAATTTTTGAGGTTTTTTTCTATGCTTATACAGGGGAAACCCTCTGTGAATTTCTGCTTTATCAGAAGTGCCTCAAGAATTCATTTACTTGCAGAATTCTTGCAGTTTTTCGGTGTCTTTTGGGGTTTGTACATTTAAGTCCAAGAATCTTTACTTGTATTTGTGGTTTAATTTCTGCTTGTTGCAAGAATCTATTTATATATATATATCTGTAGATATATATATCTATTTATATATATATATCTGTAGATATATATCTATTTATGCATTTATATATCTATATCTATTTATAGATCTGTATTTATCTACATATTTATAAATATGCCTTTCTATATTTCTATATTTCTATATCTCTATTTTTGATATTTCTATATCTATGTGTATATTTATAAATATATATCTATATTTCCATATTTTTCTTTATTAATATATATATATGTACTTATATATCTACTTGAATATTTATATACCTATATGTATCTATATGTATATATATTTATATATCTATATGTGTTTATATATCTGTATCTGTAGGTGGATATATAGGTATAGATTCATTCTTGTCTCTCTTTAGCAATTTATTATTTAAAAATAACTGAGAAAATCATCTTTTTAAGCTTTTTCCAGCTTTATTTGCCACAGATTTCCAATTCTGGTGTCACTGGAAGGAATCCCTGCCTGGTTCTTCTCCCTGCTCAGTGCAGTGCACAAATAATTTAATAAATCCCATGTAAAAATGGAGATAAAAAATAAACCCACCATTCTAAATTCTAGGGATTTATTCATTCCTTCCAAATTTATCCCAAGCCTTGGGTTGCTTTACTTTGAAATTGTTTCCCTGAGCTCACAAACCCCAATTAATGCTTTTAGCAGAGATTAAATTGGAGATAAAGATGAGATGGGCTCATCTTTAAAAACTTACTTTTGGTGGCCTTTAAAAACTTATTTTTTAAAGCCTTTAGCCCCTTCCTCTGCTTTTTAAGGAGTTTGTTAAGAAATTCAACATTTTTTGGTCAGTTCTTGACGAAGTTTGCAAATTGCACAAGCAGCAACCCCATTTACACAGATTTTTTTTGCACAAACTTTTGAGGGAAAGAAGGGAATGGGAAATGTCCTGTGTCTCCCAGAGGGTTTTAAAGTTTCCCTAAAGTTTTTTTTTGGGTTAAAGTTGAGATGAGATGTGTTTGTAAGGAGCAGCAGCACCTCTGGGGAGGCTTTAGTGCCATTTTCTCCATGGGAGATGGGTTCCTGCTGGGAGTGCATTCCCAGCCCAGGGTGGAATTCTTGGAGATTGATCCGTTGGAGTTTGCATTCCCAATTCTGCATTTTGTTTGGGCTGATAACCAAGGTATTTTATGTCTTTTTCTAGGCTTAAATCCTTGATAAACAAAGCTCCTGTGATGCTCTTCATGAAGGGAAACAAACAGGTAACATGGAATGCTCCAGAAAATTGTGAATTTTACCTTGTTCTTACTTAATTCAAATCAGTGCAGCTGCAAAAGTTCTTTATCTTTTTATTTTGTGCTTCTATAAACCATAAAACAGCCCCTGCTTTTTATTATTGCTAAATATTATCTATTAGATATTTCTATTAATATCAATTAATAGAAATATCTGATGCTTAGATATTATAATAGATATATCTAATATCTTGGATATCTTATAGATATCTATAGTATCTGTTAATATCTAAAAATTGCTGGGTGTTCATTGTCTTCATGTCAAGAGTTTGCAGTGGATACGAATTATTAATTAATTATAATTCCAATTATAATTAATTTTAGTTTAATTATAATTCTAATTATAATTAATTTAATTATAGTTTAATTATAATTAAATTAATTCTAATGAGAATAAGTATGACAAGTTGCTCTTCTTGTTTATTATAGTTTATTATGGTGAATCCAGGCAAGTGATGCCTCAAAATGCAGCAGATTTATTCCATAAATCCATAAAAATCAGGAGATAAAGGATGGGAAAGGGATTAGGGAGTGGCTCATCCAGCAGAAAAATGGGAGTTGCTGTAGTGCAGCTGGAATTCATGGATTTAAAAAGCAGAGACATTTAATACCTGTGTTTTATATTTCAGATGGCAAAATGTGGCTTCAGCAAGCAAATCATAGAAATCATGAATAACACTGGGTAGGTAATGGGGCTTGAGTTTGGGGGGGCAGTTTTGGGGTAAAAACTGCATTTTATGGAAAATGTATTAGAAAATATCAATGGAATTACTCCCCAAATGTAAGTTTTTATTTTTCAAGAGGAATTCAAGCAGTGGAAGGGTTATCTGAGAATTTTATTGGGGCTTTTTGAGATAATTAAGGAGTTTTTTGAAAATTTAGAGGGGTTTTTGAAGATTTTGAGTATTTTTTCAAGATTTTGGGGTTTCTCTGAGAGAATTTTGAAGGGTTTTTGTGGAATTTTGAGGACTTCTTGTGAGAATTTTGAGGGGTTTTGAACATTTTTAGGGTTTTTAAAAAATCTTGAGGTTTTGAGACTTTTGAGGGTTTTTTTTTGAGAATTTCAATAGTTTTAAAAAAATCTTGATGTTTTAGAACTTTGGGGGTTTTTTGAGAATTCTGAGCAGGTTTTGAGAACAGTGAGGAGTTTTTGATAATTTTGAGGATTTTTTGAGAACTTTGAGGGATTTTTCCAGCTTTTTATGGGTTTTTAAAAAATCTTGAGGTTCTACAAATTTTTGGGGGTAATTTTTGCAGTTTCTGTGAGAATTTTGAGGCGTTTCTTTACAAATGTTGCGAGGTTTTGTTGCTTTCTGAGCATTTCTCCCCAGCTGCAGTGTGAATAACGTGAATATCCCATTTTTTCCATGAATATCTCATTTTATCCCTCTCTCTCCCCAGCGTGGATTACGAGACCTTTGACATCCTGGAGGATGAGGAGGTAACAGCAGCTGCCCCTCCCTGGGGATCCATTCCCTGCTGCCTTTCCCAGGGCCAGCATTCCCAATAATTCCTGTTTGATTCCCAGATTTCATTTGGCCAGAATTCCCAGTTAATTCCTGTTTGATTTCCCAGATTTGATTTGGCCAGCATTAATTCCTGTTTGATTTCCCAGATTTCATTTGGCCAGAATTCCCCAGTAATTCCTGTTTGATTTCCCAGATTTGATTTGGCCAGCATTCCCAATAATTCCTGTTTGATTTCCCAGATTTGATTTGGCCAGAATTCCCAATAATTGCTGTTTGATTTCCCAGATTTGATTTGGCCAGCATTCCCAATAATTCCCATTTGATTTCCCAGATTTGATTTGGCCAGAATTCCCAATAATTGCTGTTTGATTTCCCAGATTTGATTTGGGATTAAACAGAATTAATTCCTGTTTGATTCCCAGATTTCATTGGGCCAGCATTCCCAATAATTCCTGTGTGATTTCCCAGATTTGGTTTGGCCAGCATTCCCAATATTCCTGTTTGATTCCCAGATTTGATTTGGCCAGAATTCCCCAGTAATTCCTGTTTGATTTCCCAGATTTGATTTGGCCAGCATTCCCAATAATTCCTGTTTGATTCCCAGATTTGCTTTGGCCAGCATTCCCAATAATTCCTGTTTGATTCCCAGATTTGCTTTGGCCAGCATTCCCAATATTCCTGTTTGGTTTCCCAGTTTGATTTGGGATTAAACAGAATGAATTCCTGTGTGATTTCCCAGTTTGATTTGGGATTAAACAGAATGAATTCCTGTGTGGTTTCCCAGTTTGATGTGGGATTAAACAGAATGAATTCCTGTTGGATTCTCAGTTTGATTTGGGATTAAACAGAATGAATTCCTGTTGGATTCCCAGTTTGATGTGGGATTAAACAGAATGAATTCCTGTTGGATTCCCAGTTTGATTTGGGATTAAACAGAATGAATTCCTGTGTGATTTCCCAGTTTGATGTGGGATTAAACAGAATGAATTCCTGTTGGATTTCCCAGATTTGATTTGGCCAGCATTCCCAATATTCCTGTGTGATTTCCCAGTTTGATGTGGGATTAAACAGAATGAATTCCTGTTGGATTCCCAGTTTGATTTGGGATTAAACAGAATGAATTCCTGTCTGGTTTCCCAGTTTGATTTGGGATTAAACAGTATTAATTCCTGTGTGATTTCCCAGTTTGATGTGGGATTAAACAGAATGAATTCCTGTGTGATTCCCCAGTTTGGTTTGGGATTAAACAGAATGAATTCCTGTTGGATTCCCAGTTTGATGTGGGATTAAACAGAATGAATTCCTGTTGGTTTCCCAGTTTGATGTGGGATTAAACAGAATGAATTCCTGTGTGGTTTCCCAGTTTGATGTGGGATTAAACAGAATGAATTCCTGTTGGATTCCCAGTTTGATGTGGGATTAAACAGTATTAATTCCTGTGTGGTTCCCAGGTGCGCCAGGGGCTGAAATCTTTCTCCAACTGGCCCACGTACCCCCAGCTCTACGTCAAGGGGGAGCTGGTGGGGGGCCTGGACATTGTCAAGGTAAAAACTCCATTTTATTGCATTTATTTGTTGCATTTCAAAATTGCATTCATAGAAATTTTCCTGCCTGACCCCCACTGATTCCCTGCAGCCACCCTAGGATGCTTTTCCAGGGAAAGGAGCTTTAATTCTCCAATGAATGACTGGAAAAAAGCTCATTTTCACCTCTTTAATTTTTCTCATCCCTAATTTTGCTCCTGATGTTGGTTTTTTCTCAGGAAACATTCCTGGGGAAAAGGAAATTTTCTTGGAGTTGTTGGAGCAGCCCCAGAGTTCCCAAATCCTCCTGAGCCCATTCCTGCCTGGATGGTTCAGAGCCAGTTCCTCAGACTGGGACTCCTGGGAATGCTCAATCAATAAATCCCATTTAATTCTAAAAATCCTGGGACTACTGAAATTAGAGAGATTTGCTTGATTTACTTAAGAAGTGTGAGGGATTGCCTCAATTACATAGATTAATATTATTTATAAAGATTAATTTTACTACAATTACATAGATTAATTTAATTTATATAGATTAATGTTACTTAAAGGATATAGATTAATTTTATTTATATAGATAAATGTTACCTAATGTACATGGATTAATTTTATTTACAAAGATTAATTTTACTTCAATTGTACAGCTTTATTTTATTCATATAAATTAACTTTACTTCAATTATATAGATTATATAATTATAGATTATATATAATTATAAAGATATAGATTAATTAGATTAAAGTATATAAATACTTTATATACTTTATATAGATTAATTTTACTTAAAGTATATAAATTTTTATTCAGTTAACAAGTGTAGGGATTGCTTCAATTCTTATATAAATTTATTATTGAAATTATTATATAAAAGTATTATATAAATAATAATTTGATTTATAGGTACTATTTTTACCTAAATTCTGTAGATTAATTTTATTGATGTAGATTAACTTTACTTAAATTATATGGATTAATTCTATTTATATAGATTAATTTTACCTAAGGTATATCATTAATACTGTTTATTTAACAAGTGTAGGGATTGCTTCAATTACCTAGATTAATTTTGCTTATATTATATAGATTAACTTAATTTAGAGTTTAATTTTATTTGTTTATTTAGCAAGTGTAGGGATTAAATCAATAAAATTCATCTAGATAATTTAAGAAGTGTGGGGGCTTTTTCAGTGCTCAGGAGGAGGAGTCTTGGGCATTGTGAGATGCTGTAAAATCCCTTTTGTTTTTGGTATTTCAATGTAAATTCTCCCTTGGCATCCTTGGCTGTTTGAGTTCATGACTCGTATGGTGGATGAGCGCTGTCAGTGGTTTGCATTTTACATTGCATTTTTTAATGCAGCATAGTATGGAATTACTGCAATAGAGCTGTTGATTGCAAGATGTGGGAGAAGAGCAGCATTCCACGTTGTTTCCCAGGTGTCTCCTGGTGCTCCCGAGGCAGCTGCCAGCCCCAAAATGTGAATTTCAGTGCCCAGGATTGAGGGATGAGCAGGGCAGGCGCCTCCTGCTCAGAGTCCTGAGGATTTTCATTTCCTTGTTGGGGTTTAGGGGTGGGAAAACAAAACCCATCCATGGGTGGTGAATTCCTCCTTTGGGGTGTTGGAAAGTTCTGTGCCTGGAGTGTCTGGGATTCCACCTGGCAGGAGATCAGGGACACCAAGCAGAGCTCTCAAGCTGTGATTGTCCACTCCTTTGTCTTTTGCACGAAATGCACCCAAAGCAGAGTTTAAATCCTGTCTAAAGCTCAGAGTGTTGCCCAGGAGGGAGCCCTGTGAGGCATTCCATGCTGCCAGGGAGTGTTTCCTGCTGGAATCCCCTTGGATCATCCCAGCAAACCCTTCTTGTGTCTTGCAGGAGCTGAAGGAAAGTGGAGAGCTGCTGCCTGTGCTCAAGGGGGAGAATTGACGGGGAGAGAAATCCCTGCAACAGCCTGGAACACTTGAGAGATTCTCCTGGAGAAACAGCCAACTGCACCCTGAGAGCATCAGGAGGGGAAGCAGACAGGAAATAAACACAAATATTCTCTCTGTGGAAATGGTTTCACTGGGGACACAAAAAGGTCAATTAAAATTCAGTGCTCCAGGATTTGTGGTGTTGGGGTTTCATTATTTGCACCCCTGTCCATCCCAGAATTATTTAAGGTGAAATTGGAACTTGCTTTTTTTGGGCTCAGCTCTCATTAGAGGAATATTAATGGAGCACCATCTTTTCCTGCCCCCATTAATTGTTTCCATGTCTAATGAGCAAGAAAAACACTTTGGGAGCCTTGAGCCAGCACAGCTTTAGGGAGTTATTAATGAGCTGCAGCTTTGTCCTCTGCAAACTTGTTAAGTGGGTGCACTAATTGCTAATTTGGGGTGCTCAGTCACAAACGTGGGGTTTTGGAAGTGCTGGTGAATCCTCAGCTCTCGGGTTTCTGTGGTTCAGATGACCCTGAGATATTAGAAAGTCTCCTTTTCCCCAGCCCCATGACCAAAGAAGGAGCTGAGATTCCTTGGTTCTGCTTTTCAAGGTTGTTTATTTTTCCTTATCTGTTCCATCCTCTCTCTGACCTGCTGAGATCTGCCCAGAGGTTGGGTTGTGGCTCAGTCCCTGCCCTTGGCGTGGTGTTGGCTTTTGATACTGAAAACTGCCTGTATTTATTTACAATAATTTCCAATACCTATCCCCTATGTCAGACAGTCTGTCTGTACTCTAAACCAATCCAGAAGTGTCACCATCACAGCAGAGGATGGAGGAGAAGGAGGACAGGACACACCCAGACTCCTCCATCTTGCCTCCAGAACCCCCATTCTAAATCCCCAAAATTCTACTTTTCCAAAATTCTGCTTTTTCCACACCCTCAGGCTGCTGTTAGCTTTTGATCCTGAAAACTGCCTGTACTTTATTTACAATAATTTTCCAATACCTATCCCCTATGTCAGACAGTCTGGCTCTGCTCTAAACCAATCCAGAAGTGCCACCATCACAGCAGAGGATGGAGGACAAGAAGAAGAAAAAGGACTGGACACACCCAGATTCCTCCATCTTGCCTCCTGAACCCCCATTCTAAATCCCCAAAATTCCACTTTTTCACCCTGTGACAAATTCACCATCATTCTACTCAAACCCTTGTACCTCCTCACACAAAGTTGGGAATTGTTTCCATGGGCTGAAATCCAAGGCACAGAGCAATGTCCTGGCTCCAGCAGTCAGGGATCCTCCAGGGCTGTGGAGAGCTTTCCTGGGCTGCTCCTGCACTGCTGGGATTTCATTTGGGACCAGCCCTTCTTGCAGCACCTGAGCCTGGGTGCATTCCACGTCCCCAGATGCTGGCAGAAGTCTCTCCTTGCTGGGAGGGCCAGCACTGACATTCCCAGCTGTGCCTGGAAAAGGCTCCAGGTGAGGTGCAACCTTCGGGGAGCAGCTCTGGGGCTTTTCCCCTAAATCCTAAATATGATCCCAGTCTCAGAACTAAACCTAATCTGGTGTTAAGCTTATCCCAACGTGGAGAAGGTTGGCTGCAGGGAAGCAGGTCCTTCCATGTGCTAGAGGATTCCTAGGGATGGATATTTAATTTTCTAGGATTAGTTTTAGTAATTGCTATCAAATATGTGTTATAACTTTAAACCCGATTTTAATTGCTTTAAAAAAAATCCTTGTCATGAAAACAAGCCTTAATTAATCCTCTTAAGTGAATTGCAAATGCATTCAGGTAGTTTTCAGTAGGAAGAAAATAATTTATTACAGCAAAACGTAGCACCCCTGTGGTGAAGTAAGGAGTTAGAAGCTTTAATTAAATACTAAATACCAAATGCTATTTAGTTTTCCTTCAGAATTCAGTGTAGTGGAATTTATTTGGGGTTTATGGAGTCCTGTTAATGGATTTATAGACGTGCAACAGAGCAGCAGGGAATAGCAGTTGATTCCTGACAATTTGTATTTTTATTTATTCCAGTATGGGATATTGGGAAGGAGTTGTTCCCTGGCACAGGGTGCCCAGGGAAGCTGTGGGTGCCTTGTCTGTATTTCCCTCCTTATTTTGCAATATTTCCCTTGTTTGTCCCAACATTTCAGCTGGATTATTTTTTCCCTGCAATTTAATGTTGGGATATTAGGAAAAAAAACCCCAAATATTCCTAAGGAAGATGAAGAGAGGAACAGCCAGTGATTAAACCCTCTGTGCTACTAAATACATGAAATAACTTCACCTAGCAGATAATTGTCACCTCTGTCACCTCCTCAGTGCTGGGATAAGAAATTCCTTCCAACCTCCATGAAATATTCCAGGTTTGAAAGGGAAGTGTCACCTGGCTGGGACCAGGGATGCAATCAATACCTGGGATTTAAATTAAAAGTTAACCTGGCTGCATGTGAACATTGAGGGCTTCTGCCTGGCCAAGGGGAAATTTGGGTTGGTTCATGATTTTAATTAGGGAGTATTTTATGGGTAAATTTGGGTTAGTTCATGATTTTAATTAGGGGGTATTTTATGGGTAAATTTGGGTTAGTTCATGATTTTAGTTAGGGGGGTATTTTATGGGTAAATTTGGGTTAGTTCATGATTTTAGTTAGGGGGGTATTTTATGGGTAAATTTGGGTTAATGATTTTAATTAGGGGGTATTTTATGGGTAAATTTGGGTTAGTTCATGATTTTAATTAGGGGTATTTCATGGGGAAAACCAATCCCGGGGATTTTTCCTGGCGGCGGCAGCGCCGTGCATGGCCACGGGGCGGTGCTGGGCACCGCGGAGCGCGGGGAGCGGGACAGAGGGACAGAGGGATAATGGGATAGAGGGGATAACGGGTTAATGGGATAGCGGGATATCGGGACAGAGGGATAACGGGATGGAGGGATAACGGGATGGAGGGATAACGGGATGGAGGGATAACGGGATAACGGGACAGAGGGATAATGGGACAGAGGGGCAGAGGGATAACGGGATAATGGGATAACGGGACAGAGGGGTAATGGGATAATGAGATAGGGGGTAACAGGACAGAGGGATAACGGGATAACGGGATAGAGGGGGAGAGTGAGATAGAGAGAGAGAGGGATAACGGGAGAGAGGGATAATGGGGTAGAAAGATAGCGGGATAACGGGAGAGTGGGATAGAGGGATAGCAGGAGGGAGGGATAATGGGATAGAGGGATAGAGGAATAGCAGGAAAACGGAATAGCAGGATAACGGGATAGAGGGATAATGGGAGAGCAGGATAAAGAGATAGTGGGATAACAGGATAGGGGGATAATGGGATAGAGGGATAATGGGGTAGAGAGATAGCAGGATAACAGGGCTGGGGATGCTGCTCCAGGGTAATGGGGCCAGGATAGTGGGATAATGGGATAACAGGGCTGGGGATGCTTCACCAGGGTAATGGAGCAGCATCCCCAGCCCTATTATCCCCAGCAGGATAGAGGGATAACGGGACTGGGGATGCTGCCTCGGGATAACGGGATAGTGGGATAATGGGACTTGGAATGTTGTGCTGGGATAATGGGATAGAGGGATAATGGAACTGGGGATGCTGCAGGGTGGGATAACAGGGAATAACGGGGCAGGGAATGCTGTGGGGTGGGATAACGGGGAATAAAGGGGTAGGGAATGCTGTGGGGTGGGATAATGGGGGAATAATGGGGCAGGGAATGCTGTGGGGTGGGTGGGAAATGGGGACAAGAGGAGGGGCTACAGGGCTGGAGCTCCTTAGCCCAGCACCCCCCGGTCTCACAGGGAGCTGTCCAACGTGGCTTTGTTGGGCATTCATTTAAACTTTCAATTTAAATTCATTGGCTGCTGTTCCCAAGACAAATCTGGACTTTTCAGCCATTTCTCAGATCAAATGCTTGGGAATAATAGTAATAATCATAATAACAGTAATCCTAATAGTAATAATAATAATAGTAGTATAATAATGATGATGATGATGCCAATAGCAGCTGTGGTTGCTGCACAGTCTGAGTGCCCCAGGGAGCAGCTCTGAACCCGGGGTGCCATGGGTGCCTCTGAAGGACGTGCAGGAGCTGAGGCTTTCCTGCCACCGGGAAGGTTTGGGTTAAACTGGGAATGCTGCCCCGGGCAGGCTGAAGCTGAAGGAAGATTTGAACTCTCAGGGATTTCGGGCTCCTGGCAGAACCAGCCTGGCATTTCTGCCCTCAGTGCTGGGGCTGAGCCCTCCCTGAGTACCTGGGCCTGGCACAGTCTGGCAGTGCCAGCTCTGCCCCCCGAGGGCTGCTCAGATTCCTCCTGGATGTGGGTCCAGTGCTGGTCACAATGCAGACCCTGGGGTGAGCAATGATGGCAGCAGAATTCATGGACCCCGTGTGAGCCATCAGAGAATCCCAGAATGGTTTGGGTGGGAGGGACCCCAAATCCCCCCCAGAGCCACCCCAGCCATGGCAGGGACACCTCCCACTGTCCCAGGTGCTCCCAGCCCCAGTGTCCAGCCTGGCCTTGGGCACTGCCAGGGATCCAGGGGCAGCCCCAGCTGCTCTGGGCACCTGTGCCAGGGCTGCCCACCCTGCCAGGGAACAATTCCCAATTCCCAATCTCCCATCCAGCCCTGTCCTCTGGCACTGGCAGCCATTCCCTGGCTCCTGTCCCTCCCTTTTCCAAAGAAAGCCACAATGGAAGATCTGGTCTTTGAAGCTGCTGTGGACAGAAAAGCACGGTAGGAAAATATTTTTACTTTTGCTTTTTTTTGTTGTTGTTGTTTTCTTGCCAGGGCATCTTAAAAACCCATAGCAATTATTACCCACTGCCTTTTCCCCCTTTTTTTCCCCGGGAATGTGCCCGTGTGACACTAGATGGAGCCTTCTGTGCGCAGGAGGATGTGGGGAGTTCAGCAGCGCTCTCTGTAAATCTGTCAGTGCCATCGCCGCCGAGCCGGGGCTGCTGTTCAGCGGGAAAACACGGTGGGAAAGGGCTCCTTACACCTGCAGGGGGCAAAGCTCACCTGGACTGGGTGACTCGAACTCCCTGCCACATCTGAACCGAGAGGCAGCGCTGCACACCGCATTTTTAAAGTGGATTTTTAGGGCTGGAATGAGCTGGGCTGGGAGGTCCCTTCCTGCCCCAACCAGGCTGGCATTCCGTGGCCCTGCAGGGCGTGGAGAGGCAGAGTGGTGCTCGTGGCTTTGGCAGCAGCCAGGGATGTACAGAACCTCCTGTCCTGCGGGTACCTGGCTGTTTGTCACTGTCCTTCTTGGGAAAATCCTTCAGAGTGGGAGAAAGGTTTGGGGCTGTGGCTTTGGTGGCTGTGCTGTGGTGGGTGGGGAGCCCTTCCCAGCGCTCTCCTTGCAGCAGCAGAGCGGTGTCACCATTCTGAGCACAGCCTCAGCCCCTGAGAGCACCCTAAAATGCAGATTATGGGATGGCAGTGCCGGGACAGGTGGAGCTGCAGCATGGCTCTGGGTGGGCCTGTGCCCTCTCCATTATCCTCTGCCAACTTTGATAGTGGAGCCCTGAAAAATGTTAAAAATCGTCTTTGAAAACGTTAGGCCCTGTGTTTTCTCAGATCACTGCACCTGTGTAAGCAGTATGATAAATGATAGAATTGTTAGATATGATGATTGTTTAGTAATGAAATATAATTATTATATAACCATAGGAAGAATCATGAGAAACTATGTTGGAAATTTAAAGGGGGCTATGTTTAGCTGAAATCTGTGTATACAATAGAACAATATAAGTTTGATAATTAACATGAAAGTTATATAACAATAGAGTATAAAACACGTTCACCTCGAATGTATGGTGGGAGTCAGATTTGGGTGGAAACCACCACGATTCCCAGAGCCCTTGAATAAAAAGCACCACATATAATGGCTGATGTGATTATGTGTTTTTGAACTCTAACAATTTCATGGTGGGTGTAAACAGCCTGGACACTGCTGGCACCCAGAATGATGGGAGGGTAATGAGAAAATGCAATTATCAAACAAATTTGGGGCATGGCATCTCTGTTTTGACTCAGGATGAGAGGTGAGATGGGACTTCCTGTGGGAAGCTCTGGGAGAGGATGCAGGGGCTGATGGAGGGGAGATCCTCTGCCCCAAGGCTTCCAAACTGCAGGAATGGATCTGCCCCATCCCTGGAAGTGTCCCAGGCCAGGTTGGAGGGGCTTGGAACAACCTGGGATAATGGAAACTGAGAGAGGGGTGGATTTGACAGAATCACTTCACTCTGGCCCGTTCAGTGGGAGAACAGAAAGTGAATTCAGTCCTTGAAGAGACCTCCAGGATCCTCGAGTCCAGCCCAGCCCCAACACCTCACACACACCCTGGCACCCAGTGCCACATCCAGGCTTTGTTAAACACACCCAGGGATGGGGACTCCAGCACCTCCCCGGGCAGCCATTGCAGAACTTTCTCACCCTTTGAGAGGATGTCCAGGCTGGCACAGGGATCCCCCAGGGCTGGCACAGGGATCCTCTGTGCCCTGAATCACTCCCAGTGCCACCCCAGCCCAGCCCAGGGCTGGCACAGCCAGCTCAGGAATTCATCCTTGTTAAATTCCTCGATAAATTCCTTGTTGAATTCCTTGATAAATTCCTTGTTGAATTCCTCGATAAATTCCTTGTGAAATTCCTCGATAAATTCCTTGTTGAATTCCTTGATAAATTCCTTGTTGAATTCCTCGATAAATTCCTTGTGAAATTCCTCGATAAATTCCTTGTTGAATTCCTCGATAAATCCCTCCAGGAATTGATCCTTGTTCTAAAAGCTCCGTCCCTGGTTCTGCTGGGGGTCCAGGGTGTGTGCCCAGCCCTGGGAATGTCTGGGAACAGGGAATGGGCCTGGAGCTGGACAGCCCCAGCCTCCAGCAGGGAAGGAGCTCCTCAGGCCACCCCCTCTGGCATTTTTGGGATCTTTTCCTGCTGCTCAGGCTGTGTTTGCAGCCCTGTTTGCCCAGGGAGGGTTGGAGTGCCCATCCCTGGGGGTGCCCAAGGAATTCCTGGAGGTGGCACTCGGAGCTCAGGGCTGAGCCAAGGTGAGCTCAGGCACAGCTGATCCTGGAGTTGTCTTCCAGCCTGAATGATCCTGGGATTCCATGGCTCTGTGGCAGCTGGGTACCTGAGCAGACCTCATTAACTTCAGATCAAATGCAACACAAATTCATGCCCTGAAATGGTAATTTTCAAAACATGTTTTGTGTTAAAAGGGGTCTTTTTTCTCCTCCCGCTTCACTTTCATCCAGAATTCATTTCCAGTCTCTCTGCAACCAGCTCCTGTGTTTCAGGAAATGTTTCCGAATTCCTGAGCTCAAACACCATTTGAAAACCTCATTTGAATTTTTAAACAGCTTTGCCTGCCCCAAATGGTTTTTTGCCAAATGAAAGAGCTGCACCTGAAAAGTTTTTCCCAGCTCCGGGGAAGAGCTGGGTGTGCTTGTGGAAGCAGCTGGGATGCTGAGGGAGAGCAGGGGGAGAGGAACAGCACAAAGGGAGGGAAGGATGTGGCTTCCTATCGCTGAAACCTCCACCTTCATCTTCAGAGCACAAACAAACCACAGCAGCCCTTTGGGAACAGCAAAGTGTGGAGCAAGAACACGAGGCTGGAACACAGGATCCTGCTGTACTCAGGTCTGGGTTAAATCAGGATTTATGCCAGAGCTCAGCGCCGTGGTGGGACCTTGGTTACCTTGGGCTTTCCAGGGTTTTTGGGTGGAAAGGGAAAGGGCTTCAAACTGAGCAGGTTTAGGTGGGATTTTGGGAATTAGGAATTGTGCCCAGAGCAGCTTGGGCTGCCCCTGGATCCCTGGCAGTGCCCAAGGCCAGGCTGGACACTGGGGCTGGAGCACCTGGGACAGTGGGAGGTGTCCCTGCCATGGCTGGGGTGGGATGAATTTTTAGGTCCCTTCCCACCCAAAGCACGCTGGAGCTCTATGAAAGCTGCTCGATATCTCAGGACAAAAGGAGCTGGAATCATGGAATCTTTAAGGCTGGAAATATCAAATTAAAACCATCAAATCCCTCCAGCAAACGCTGCCCTGCATTGTTTGTCATTCCCCTCAGAGGAATGGGGAGCTGGGTGTCACCAACCCAGCACCTGGCTGGGATCCTGTGGGGTGAGCTGACCTCAGGAGAGCTCCCAGCTCAGGGGCAGAGGCTTTAATTCAGATTTTAGATCATTTAAAATGCATAAAGGAGTTTGGTGCAGATGCAGCAGAGCAGCTGGGAAGCGACTCCAGCGTGGTACAGGAGCAGGGCCAGGCCTGCCGGGGTGGGAGATGTCAGGGCTTTGGCCAAGCAAAGCAAAAAGTGGCAGAAAATGACAAAAACGCCCTCGTGGCCCGTGTTCAGGAGGCTCAGGAAATGAGTGGCTGAAGGAAACACAATTTCAGTCCTCAGAGCTGGCTCCCGGCCCTGAGCTTCTCCTGTAAATGGGATTTTTCTGCTGGGGGCAGAGGAATGCTGGGTTTAGTGCTGAAAGCTCGTTAAGATCTGATGTTAAACAATTAATGCTCCGAGGGACAAATTGGTTCATGGAGCAGGCCTGGCTGTAGCCAGAGGAAAACACAACATCCAGGGAAATTCCAGGGCTCTCAATCAGCCTGGTCGTGCCCGCAGGGGCTCGGGGCTGCTCGGGTTCCCCGGACCCTGCCAGGACCCAGGGCAAAGCTCCCAGCCGCTCTCTGGGGCATTTCCTGCGGGAAAGGCTCTTCCAGCCCCGCACAGCATTCCCTGCTTCCCTCAGAAAGCCAAGCTGCCTTCAGGGTGTCTCTGACTCATTTCCCCCTTTTATGGGCAGCATTTTAAGCAAGTCCCAGCATCTCCCATCCTTTCGGTTCCTGGGAGCTCTGCAAAACCCCGATTTTTATGTCTGGAGTGAGATTTCCAGCTGGAATGGGCTCTGGCCAGGCCGGGCCGGGCCGGGTGCTGCGAGGGAAATCTCAGTTTTGCAGGGAGGGTTTCTCTGTGCTCTCCCAGATGAGGACGCAGGATTTCCCAGGGGATGAGAGGTGCAGGGCTGCACTGCAGAGGGATCTGGGCAGGAATTGTTCCCCAGGGGCCTGGGGGGCTCTGTCACCCTGAGTTTTTAAGTTTTTCCAGGCCTTCTGATGTTGACATTCTTGTAATGAACTTTCTCACACACTTTCTGTAAATAACTCATTGTTTTGCATTCCTTTATGGGAGAAATTTGATGGGCTGTTGGCTTGCCCAGTGCCATTGGAGAGGTGGCACTGTCACCCTGCAACCCACTGTCACTTTTGGAAATCTAGAAATGTTGGGGTCAGAAGTTAAAAAGTCTCTTTTTGCTTTGAAAAAGCAGCGTGTCCACATCGAGTTATTTCCTGTCCTAGTGCTGATAGTGGAGCCCTGGAAAATGTTAAAAATAGCCTTTGAAAATGTTGGGCTTTGTGTTTTCTCAGGTCACTGCACCTGTGTAAGCAGTATAATAAATGATATAATGGTTAGATGTGATGATTGTTTAGTAATTAAATATAATTATTGTATAACCATAGGAAGAATCATGAGAAACTATGTTGGAAATTTAAAGGGGGCTATGTTTAGCTGAAATCTGTGTATACAATAGAACAATATAAGTTTGATAATTAACATGAAAGTTATATAACTATAGAGTATAAAACACGTTCACCTCGAATGTATGGTGGGAGTCAGATTTGGGTGGAAACCACCCCGATTCCCAGAGCCCTTGAATAAAAAGCACCACACATAATGGCTGATGTGATCATGTGTTTCTGAACGCTAACAGTGCCACAACAGGCGCCCACAAATAAAGAAGATTTTCCTCACCCTCAGGTGGATTTTCCTGGGCACCCCTGGCTCCTGGCAGTTCCCTGCCCCTCTCCAGGGTGCCCAGCCCAGGTTCAGTTTGTGAATTTATTTGTGGGTTTGTGTTCAAGGCTCAGCAGAGCCTGGCTCTGAGCCCCCACAGCTGCTGGCAGCTCCTGGCACCTCCATTTCTGGATTCCATTCCTCAGGCTGAAGGGAAGGTACACTGGAACTGTCATCCCAGTTTTTAATTCCTTTTTTTTTTTTCTTTTCCCCCTCCTGTAGACATCCCACAAAGCTCATTTATGGGATCAGCCTGATTTGGGAGATTCTGCTTTAAATATTTCAGTTTCCATTTTATCACCTGCAGCTCCAATCAGGCTTTGCACGGTGCCAAGTCTGATCACAAATAATTTTTTTTTGCTACCAGACATCTCTAGTCCCCAAAAAAATGACTTTGAGAAAATGAGCAGTGATGCATTAAAATGCATTTTACAGAGAAATTATCTTTATATGCTTTGTCTTCTTTTTTTTTTTATTATTATTTTTGGTTAAAAAATATAGCTGCTGCAAAACCACAAAAATACAAAAAAAAAAATCTGCTACACTTGGAAAAAGGATTTGCAAAATATCCCCATGAATGTCTTGGAATCATGAATGGATTTAATAACCACACATTGATGAGGGCACGCTGCAGATACTGATTAATTATTAACGTGTTTACAACAATTTTGCAAATAATGGGCTAATCACTGCAATTATGTGTTTTCCAAGGGGGCAGGGCTGTGCTCCCAGGCAATCCTGGAAAACTCCCTGGCCAGGGCTCTGCTTCCCAGGCTGCTGTTTATTTTTGTGGGCCATTGATTTCCTGCCAGGATGGAGTGGATTTAATTTTAACTGATAGTCCAGTGGTTGATTCTGGCTGTAAATTATGGGTGAGCCGCCTGTTTGCAGCATTCCAGTGCCTGGGAAGGGAGGGGATTCCCTGCCAACACCTGGGCAGGGAAAGGGAAACCCTTCCCTGTGGGATTCCTGCAGAGCTGGGCTGCTGCAGGGCAAAGGCAAGCTCAAATGATGGATAAATAGA